CCCCCCCTGTTGGAAAATACGCGCAACATCAACGCGCGATCTGGAAGCCTTTTAAGAAGCACGGACACAACGGGTGTATGGTTGAAGGGAAATCTGTGCCGTGTTATAATAACACTACCTTAAAATAGTTATTTGCCCAGTAACGGTGCAGTTAGAATCCTGGCACGCTTTCGACAGGCTACACAGACCTACTACGGATAGCTTGCATTAGCAATCACGTAGGCAAACCTCACTATTGCTCAGACGAAGGGAAGGAGAAGGAGAATAGAATAAATGACTCGAATTGAAGGTGTTTTTTAAAACGATGTTGGGAGCTGCTATTTATAGTAAGAAGCCCCTCCATCCCTTCCACAGATATGGAAGGATGTGCGTCGTCTATAAATTAGCGACATTCACGCTGTCCACATGAAGGGCGCTGGATGCGCTGTCCACCCTACAACACTAGCCACACAAATGTTAAGCATATTCTCCAAACTTCATCTTTAATTTTCCAACAATCCCCCACAAATTTAAGGAGGAAAGGAAAAGAATAACGTCTGAGCAATACAAATGAGTTGATCTTATTGTCAGTGTTTGTGAACTTGAACTGACACGTAGTGACGTTGAGTAATTTTCTTTCCGAGAGTGATATGAATCTTGAACTCATCGGTTGGAAAAATTTTGAACTCTAATGCACACACCAACTCAAAAAGTAGGTTTTACGAAAGTCAAACTCTTTGACTTTTTATGAATACCCTTAGTATTCAAGTATGTTATGTCTATCTCAATATAGTCTTCTACCCTGTCAAAGTCTATCTCAACATAGACTTTAACTCTGACAAGTTCTACCGCATTATAGATTTTTATGTATTGTCAAGTCCATCTCAACATAGACGTTTAACACTATCAAGTCTATCTCAGTATAGACTACCATTAAAGTCTTATAGAGTAGTTAAAGACATACGTCAGTTGTAAGTCTTTTATTTATATCATAGGCACTGTTATTTGCAATGCAAATGACATTGTGTGAATCACAATGTATATGTAGTGAAGGTGTTAGCTAAACACCCCCACAACTCTACATTTATCAACATATTTCTTAGCCACTCAGCTTATTGGGATACCCCCATTATCTTTCATAAAAGGCGGTTAACCCTTTTTCACTAAGGTCAGGGATCTCTTTAGGTCAACCTCAAAATAGACCACCCCAATTGAGTATAAGTCACCAATAGCACTTTTGTACTCATGTCATTATGCGGTGAATTCATTAGGTTTGTTTCAACAAAACCACCCTTCTCAAAGAGTTATGAATTCATTAAGAGCTGTACCTCAACCTTAGAAGTACAACATTGTAGGAATGACAAACTAGTGTACTATTTTGTAACTCTTTTCATGGCTTCGTTTGACCATAGAAGTGGGACCCACCACGAATTCATTACCACTTGGACTTTAAGTCCTTCCAATGATTCAATGACTAATCCTCATAATTAGCCCTCAAGTAAGTTGATTCTCTTGATCAAACTTACATACACTTTGACGAGTACTTCGTCTACTCGTAAATAATCCCTTGAGATTTTCATGCTTAACATGAAACATTCTCTTCTACCATTATTGTTGGTACCACAGAGAGACTTTTAAGGAAAGAAATATATAAAAAGAGTTAATTACCCCCACAATGCAATACTTACAAATATTTTTCTCAAAAATATGTGATCTCTTACCCAGATTGATATTTGGTGCCCCAACATTAGCTCCTTTGTAGACTGAGTTTTGCAGATTTGCTTTATTTGTGAAACATTATAGTAGCTCCGTACTTTAGCTAATACATACTCAATAGTTAAATATTTTTCAACAAACTTGGTTATCTCAATCCATCATAATTACCCTTTAAACATGAATTATATGTCTTTCAAAATGACTTAACCAAGAATTTAAATAATATGTATAAATGATCATTGTTAGTAAGCCACAGAGATAATGTTTTCTGCATGCTGCTTCAAGTTGGACAACATAATCACAAATTTCACATAATATTCTTAATCTCGTATGCAAAGAATATGTTCAAATTGACATTTATTAGGGAATATATTTCTACAAGGTGAATTCAACGAGTATAACTTTAACACACAGAGTTATTCCACTTACACAACTTTTCTTTCACTTGAGCAAATTAAAAACTCATATAAAGCATTCATATGATGCAGATCAACATTACTATTGGAGTACTTCAACAATTTCTATTGCAAAGGCTTTGATTGTTTAACAACATATGAAAGTCAACCTCATTTCAGGTGAAGATCAAGTGGCGCTCTAACAAGCCTGCATGATCAACACCATACTTCTTAAAACTCCTAGGACGAGTGGTGAAACCGAAGTTTTCTTAAGAACCATCTTCCTAGACAGAATATTCAAGAACGATGATTTTTCCATGTTACCACCATAAATGTGAGTAAAGCCTTTGAAATCAAACTCAATACACAATTCAAATATTTAAGATTATGTAATTGTAAAATATATATGTATCTCATCAAATAGTGCAATGTTTGTAACATATCCACAATAATAACACATAATGTTATAAATTGACATGTCCATAAGTACACATTTTATAAGCTTTATATCAGATTGATGATTTAATCACTTAGCATTAGTGTTAAATCAACACTTCTAACACAACAAAATCGTAAAGCTCATGCATGTGAATAATAACAATTCACTTAGTTTTGTGTACACCGCTGTTAATTTTCTCTATAATATTCAAAGCACTCACCATACAAAATATGAAACGGTGATTTCTAAAATGCTTGTCACAATATATATTTCACGTTTCAAATGCTCTCAAAATATAATAATCAAATGGATGCAAAGATATAGGCAAATCATCTTCTAAATTATGCCATTCTGATAGTTTTTAAGGGAATATGGTCAATGCCCAATAATATATGACTACTTGTGCTCAAAATAATCATTTGCATATAATAGTCTATTATCATATAAATATGCATGTATCATATTAAAATATGAGGAGACAAACCTCATCAGAGTATGGTCAAAGCTCCGATATGAACCCAATAATTATTTATGTTGTACTCCCTTGCTTAAAGGTTACACATAAGCCGAAGTAGTGTGCTTCACCAGTATTGTTCTGTATGAGACTGCTGCCTTCCGCTGCTAATCTCGGTTGTTGCTACACCATCATGTCGCCAAAAAATTATTATAATCTTCTCCATGATTTGAGTAGTTGACTGTTGCTAAAATAACCCTTTTAACTGTTGGAAAATACGTGCAATGTCAACGCGCGATCTGGAAGCCTTTTAAGATGCACGAACACAACGGGTGTATGGTTGAAGGGAAATATGTGCCGTGTTATAATAACACTACCTTAAAAGAGTTATTTGCCCGGTAATGGTGCAGTTAGAACCCTGACACGCTTTCGACAGGCTACACAGACCTACTACGGATAGCTTGCACTAGCAATCACGTAGGCGAACCTCACTATTGCTCAGACGAAGGGAGGGAGAAGGAGAATAGAATAAATAACTCGAATTGAAGGTGTTTTTTAAAACGATGTTGGGAGCTGCTATTTATAGTAAGCAGCCCCTCCATCCCTTCCACTGATATGGAAGGATATGCATCGTCCATAAATTAGCAACATTCACGCTGTCCACATGAAGGGCGCTGGATGCGCTGTCCACCCTACAACACTAGCCACACAAATGTTAAGCATATTCTCCAAACTGCTAATGCTATGGCCGTTACTCATAAAGGGCAAGAAGTTTCATTGTATTTGCCAAAGTAAAACCCTTAATGCACAAATATGTTTTTAACAAAATGATTAATCTCTACATGTTTGGTGCGAGCATGAAAGATCGGATTATCACACATATACGTAGCACCAAGATTGTCACACCACAACTTCGGAGTAGGAATGTTTGGAGCACTGATCTCAAGCAGCAGAGAAATAATCCAGATTCACTGCTGGAAATCTCGCGTTTTCCGTCCAATATTTCCGTCCAACCATAAATTGGTCGGTATTTTACTAAAGATTTCAACTTTCTGTTACTAAAGATGGGTGGACGGAAGGTTGGTCGGTAAAGTCGAATTGACTGATAGGTAGAAATTAAAATAGTAGGTATTTTAATATCCGTCCAACATAATATTGGACGGAAATTTAAATATTTTAGCTAGTAGATATTTTAATTTTTGTCTAAAAGAATATCTAATTTACATGGTGGTCGGAACATTTCGCAAAAATTTAATTTCTTTTATTACCCTCCCTTAGAGAAAAAACAGTCTACCATCTCAAATAAAAAGGTCTTCACTCTCAAATAAAAAAATATTCCCTCTCAAACAAAAAAATACAGAGTAATTTTCGCCCAAACATAATGCGTCGCTCAGCGGCCTCAACCCAAACAAAAACCACACTCTGCATCGCTCAACAGAACCAAACACTTCCCACCTTCGCTCCTGCCTTCGCCGCTGTCTCAGTCTTTTCTTCGTCGTCGCTCCCACCTCCTTCGCCATCTTAGCCTGTGCCAAAGTCTCTACCGTTGTCGCGTCTTCCCGACTCTGTCGTTTTCGCCTCTTCTCGACTCTACTGTAGTGTCCATCACCATCCTACAAGTTAGTTCTTTAATCTTAAACCCTAATCCTTAATTTCCTAATTCTATTGAGCATATCTGTTGCTACTTCATAGGAGCGGCATGAGGTACTCTTTATTCACTACAAGAAAAACACTTTTTAGTGACAAAAAATTAGTGACAGGTAGAAAAACCCCTCACTAAAAGTACTATTTGCATAGTTTTTGTGAGACTTAAAAATTACTCTCGCTAAAAATTAATGATTTTATGAGGAAATTTTAATTTTATACTTGTTTTAAAAATGTACTCTCACTATTGATATGAAAAATCCAATTACTCTCACTATTGATCTTCCCACCAAAATTTTATTCTTGAGCGCCCCTACATAAAATTTTACAACCCAAAATTTCAATTTTTTTTTACAATCCACACATCTTTTTCCCTCTTCTCTTTCCCCCTCTCCTAAATCCCTAAAACATTACTCTGTAGTTCTCTTCCGCCAACGCCGCCTGCAAACCGCCAACGCCACCTTGCCCAATTGTCCGAAAAAATAGCGCCTCTCACTGGCCAAAAGAAGAACAAAGTAGAACTTAGAGGTGCACCCCAATTACCTAATCGTCTACCCTTCTATCGCTTCCCAGTTCCCCCAACTCCCCAAGCCCTAACTCAGCCGACAGCCAGACTCCGCCTCCGCCCTTGCTGAGTCCCGACCACAAAGCTCCTGTCGACTACACCGGAGGACTTCGCGTCTCCTCTCCGGTCTCCGCCTTCGCCCAAGCTGCGGCCTGGTCTCCGCCTCAGCCCCTGCCGACGAGGAAGCTACTACCCGGTCTCCGCCTCCGCCCCTGCCGACGACGAAACTACTGCATGTTCTCTGCCTTAGCCTCACTTGTGAACCAAGGTAAAGCCTCCTGCAATGAAATTCATAATGTGTGCTGGACTGTAATTTGTGAAATATGGTTTGCAATTGATTTGTATTGGACTGTATGTTTTTTTTTTTTTTTTTTGCTTATTACTCAACTGTATAAATCTAGTTTGCGATTGACTAAGGCTTTAAGCAAGGTGTTTTTTCTTATTCCCTTTATTGTAGCTACTGTATTAGTTGTAGCAAAGCATTCTCTTAAGTGATGTTGGGACCTTTTTCCCAGTTTAGATAAGCATTTTATGTTAATTAAATATGCATGCCAATGTATTCATTAAGTTTTCCATAAGAGGGGTTGTAATGACTTGAATGCAATACTACAAAAAAGCAGTTGGTTAATGTTGTTTTTGTAGTGAGTATCAGGTTATGTTACCTATTATTTACGTGTTTGGCAAATTATGTCATGATTAAGTAGCCTAAAAAAGATTTCTCAGCTCAAAGCCTCAAACTTCTGTGTTATTGTTTTTGTTTGTGGATTACTGAAATAATTCTTAACAGCATGTTTTCCTATGATCTCCTAGGTTTGGATTATGTTGTGTGTTGATTTCCAGCAGATTAGGTTCTTTTGTTTTGTCTAAAGGATTTTCATGGGTAGTGAGTGACATTTGATCCTTCTATCTGCAGAATGAGTGTAGTGATAAGCAGATGAAAGCATCATAATCCAATAAGGTAAGTGTTTTTTTGATCTTTTAATGTCTTTAGTTTAAGAGTTAGCAGGTGCGATGATCTGTACTAAAACTAATGAGAAACTTTTTACTATATCTTATCTTATACCATTATAGATTGTGGAAATTTGTTTAGAGGATTTGTAATGTATATGTGAACAGGTTATCAAAAAAGCCCTTGTTCTTGATGAAATAATCAATTATATACAGTCACTACAGTCTCAAGTTGAGGTAATTTTTCTAACCCTCTCACAATATGTACTGCTCTTTATAAAGTTCTTGTTGTTTTATTTTTATATGGATATCTTATTACGTTCTTCCGGGTTGAATTTCCACGTATATGTGCTTCTGCTTGTTTCCAGGTGTTTCATGGAATATCAAGTTTTAGCTGAGTTGGTTCAGGTGTTATGTCTATGTTTCCCATTTTGATCAAATCTGGATATTTCATATTAAGTTACCTAGCTTGGATGGCACGAATTTTTTGAATTTCTGACCTTTAATGTCAGGAGGTACTCTTGGTCAAAGCTCTAAAGAACCTAAATACATAATTGAATTTTATCCAGAAGACACCTTTTCTCCTTGTAAGTTCTATCAGCTTGGATGTAGTAGATTCCATTTTTTTCCTCTAAAAATTCTGATCTTTTAGATTATGGAGTACAACCTTCCCATGATAGCATTTTTTAAGATTGTGACTGTCCATTAACCAATCTGTAAAATTTTGAATTGCAGTTCCTCTGCATATATGTGAGGGCAATTTTTTGAGCTTGTATAACTGTGATGATGCAGCAAGGGAACTAGGTACTGCTCTAATTTTTCAATTTTTTTATTGCATATATGGTTTATTTGAAACATTTATTTTTTCTGAAAAGTGTATGCGCTGAACTTGAGGTATATTTGGTTGTGGTTTAGGGGTTGAGTTGTAGTTTGAAGAGAATAGTAATGGTTGTTGTTGTTGTGTGGTTTAGGTTTGTATTATATAATGAGAATGGATTTGAGAATATCTGTACTGGAAATGATTATATTATATAATGAGCTATGTATATGATGTTATTGATTCCTCCTTACTTTTGTTATTTTGAAAGTGAGTAGTGATAGTTTGAGAAACATCTTTACTTTTGTTATTTTGTAAACTATTATATTGTGCTTTAAACGTTTTAAATATTATACTTGAGAGATCTATTACCTATATGACCTTAGTGAATATTGCGAGTAGAGTGTGTGTTAAACTTAATTTAAATTTGTATGTTTTAAGTGTTGCATCTAGACCCATCTCCTCTTACTTTCCTTTACTTGCATATCTGGCTTATTTGGATGTAGCAATGGTGATCTTTTGAACAATTGTGGAGTATAACTGATCTTGAAGTTAACATTTAATTGCATGGTATTGAAGAGGAATTCAATAGAGTTGCAAATAAATTAACTAGTCATCATGGTCCATTTTTGGTGAAGGTCTACACTTGATCAACTTCATTGAAGGAGGTTGTGGATGCTGCATTGATCAAAGCCATTGAAGCAGTGCTGGATTTGAAGGCTTATTTGGGTGCAGCGAGCATACTTATGTAGTATCAAATAAGTATATTTTCATACTTAAGTAGTACGGAGTATCAATCAAGTAGTATATATTTTTTTATGTTTTTTTTTATGAACATGAACATAATTTTTGTTGTAAATAATTTTGATGTTTAAATATATTATCAATTTTCAATTTAGTGTGTTCATTAATTTATTGATGACATAATTTATTAACAACAGTTATTAAATAAAATTATGGTAATATAAAAATAATAAAAATATTCCATATGATTTAGGATTTTCCTACCAACGGTTTGAAGGAAAATAACAAAATATAATAGGTGAGTTTTCTGTCCAACGCTGGGTCAGAATTTCCGACCAATGAACGTAGTTGGACGGAATTTCCGACCAATGCACAAAGTTGGTCGGAAGTTCTCACGTTTTGAAAATGGTGGGTTACTTTCCGGAATTTCCGTCCAATTTTTGTTCGTTGGACGCTATTTCCGACCAAAAATTGTAGTTGGACGGAATTTCCCACGGAGGTTTTTCTGAACGTTCCTTTTGGTCGGTATGTTGGACGAAAACGTCGTTTCCGACCAATATATTGCGTTTTCCGTCCAATATTTGTTGGACGGAAAACGCGAGATTTCCAGCAGTGATTATCTCAGCACAGACATGCTAGAGCTTTATATTCAGCCTCAGTAGAAGATCTAGCATCAGTTCTTTGTTTCTTGCAAGCCTAAGACACAAGATTGGTTTCAAGAAACACTGTATAACCACTAGTAGACTTACGGTCTTTGGGTAGCCAACCCAATCAGAACCAGAAAAAACATGTAGATCATTGGAGATAGACTTCCCTATGCGCAAACTAAAAGTAATAGTTCCCTTAACATATCTTAATACAGGTTTTAACAAATCTGATTAAGTACAAAGGACAAATCAAACGTTTTCGAGATGAAACATTTTCAAAATGTAAAAAACATTACAGTCTCGGAGTTTTTGTGTAACATGGGTTTAAATTGGTTGGTCTTATTAGAAATTATTTAAATCAAAGTATGTAAAAAAATCTAGTCTAGTTAGTATAATATATTCTAATGAAAATTTACGAAGAAATACACACATTTTTTTTCTTGAAAATGCCATCAAGTTTTCATGGTGTTTGGTTGCATTTAAGGTATATTGTAGAGTTTAAAATGAAACAACAAGAAGCACAAATCCTTATACCATCGACCCGAGTTCACAGTGCATTGTGGACCCTAGTATATTTGTATGTGTCTAACGTTGTAAGTTTTTGTGTTTTATGTTATGAAATTTTGTATCTGAAACAAATTAATAATTGTGTCTTATGCTATGAATTTTTGTGTTAAATTTTGTGAAATTTTGTGCCTGCGAATACAAATTATATACCTAAATCAGATTTAAAAACTAAGTAAACATATAACATGTGTATGTGTTTTGTGTTGCAATTTTATATGTTGAGTTATGAAATTTTGTACCTTACAGGTATGAATTTTGTATCTTGTCGTTTCAATGCAGAGTCCATAATGCTATGTGGATCATGGTCTATGATATAAATTGCCACTCAATAGTCAATCCTCTCAAATTGCAGGCTATCATAAATATCATTGATCCATTTTGCTACCTACTAGCATGACTAGTCTCTTATTTCCCTTATTATTGACTTTTCATCTGTACAATAAAGCAATAGAAATTTCTAATTTGCTCAAATCACCTCTCACAATCAATACATGGCCCTTGGTCCTTGATAGCCATAAACAGATAGTACTAAAAAGGCCACTATAGGCATTGCCTTTACATAAAATGAGTTTGCTCTAGGAATTAAATTCCTCGGTAAATTATGGTCCACACAATGTTATGTGTACCATAACAAAAAGTATATTTTTAATATATTAAATGTACATTATTTTTGTACTGAATGTATATTATACAATACAATGTACACTCAAAACAAAAATAATGTACATCCCATAAATTCAATATACATTATTTTTGTACTGAATGTACATTATTTTACAGTAAACAAATATGGTCCACACAACTTGTGTGGACCATGATCCACACAATAACGATTGATTTTGTGCGGCATTGTTAGTTTCTTGAGAAAATTGAAGAACGCTAGTAAAATATGAAAATTTTAAAACTAATTATTATGCCTTTTGTTATACATCACATCCAATAATTAAATTTGAATAAATTATAAATTATTTGTATGATGATATTACAAAGCATTGAGTTAACTAATAATGTAAATTAATTGTTTGCAAATAGATAGAACCGTTAAAACATATTTAACTCGTTGGGCTAGTCAGTTCTACCTGCCAAAAGAACGGGGGACTATTTTCTAAACTCGTATTCTAGGCAGGCTAGCATGCCTATTTAAAATAAAAAAAATAAAAAATCAGCCCATGGTTCTAGTCTTCCAAACAACCCTAAATCCCTATTATGTTACTATGTTACCAGGGCGCCCTTTAAGTCGCGGTGCCCCCGACTGCCTTGTCGCATAAGCGACAAGTTAAAAAATACAATATATATTTGTCGCATATATATATATATATATATATATATATATATATATATATATATATATATATATATATCTTTGCTCAAATGTGGTCGCGCCTTAACATGCGGTCGTTGCAGCCACACCAATAGTGTTAGAAAACGCACAACAATGAAATGCACGACTACACCACAAAACGCATAACACACTCATAAAAAAATGCATCATACCTCCCCACACCTAATTGTGCGTTTCCAAACACTGTGTGGTGCGTTTATGCATACCTAAGGATGCATTTTTGGTGATGCATACCAAATGGTGCGTTCTTTGGTGTATTTGTGCATTTTTTATTGCGAGTTTCCTAACACTATTGGTACGTGTTTGCATAACTATTGGTGCGGCCGCACTGACTGCACGTTAAGGCGCGGCCGTGCTGGAACTAGAATATATATATATATATATATATATATATATATATATATATTCTAGTTCCAGCACGGCCGCGCCTTAACGTGCAGTCAGTGCGGCGTGTATATATATATATATATATATATATATATATATATATATATATATATATATATATCTGTGTGTGTGTGTGTGTGTGTGTATATATATATATATATATATATATATATATATATATATGTATGTGTGTGTGTGTGTGTGTGTGTGTGTGATTGTATGTATGTATGTATGTATGTATTTGAGACTGTTCAAGTGAAAACGGGTTGCCCAAGAGAGAACTAAAAACCACTCACAACTTTCCACGTGTCTAGACTCTAGATCTAACGAATCAGAAACACTGATTTTTCAAAAAAATGCGGTGGCATTTTTTGTAACTAATTGAACATTGAAATGCAAGTAAATTGTGTTAAAAGTGCAAGTAATAGTTTCATATAGTGCACCTAAGTACAAGTAAAATGTATTAAAAGTGCAACAAATAATGTATACTGAGCATCAATATTAAGTGCACCTAACATTTTCATTAGTTACACCAAACGTTATCATTAAGTGTATCAATGTGAAAGTCGTTATCATTAGGTGCACCAATGTTAACATGGTAAATTACTTGCACTATTTAGTGAAAATGGTTGAACTTGTAAGTGATTTTACTTGCAAACTTGCACCAGTTAGTTGTACTTCTAACATATTTTACTTACATCAAAGTTCGAGTTATTTACGAAAATGTCGTTGTGTCATTTTTTAAAATTACATCTGATTCTTTAAATTTGGACACGTGGACGACTGCGATTGGTTCTTAGTTCTTTCCTGGACACCTGTTCTCACCTGAGCGTGCCCATATATATTGTAAGTGTAAAAAATGTTACACATTAAACCTTTGGTTAGTTGGCTTAATTAGTTGTCAAAACTTGTAAGTTGTTAGGCTCTAGATCATTGTCTGGATACACCTCAGGAAGGGCGAAACTTTTTCAACAAGTTGGTTATCTTCAGACCCTATTTTGGTGGGTTTTAAATCATATGGTTTAGCTTCTTTTGAGGACTTATTTGCTGCACAAATTCAGACAAAGAGGTTACAATTCATTCCTATAAATAGCTATCTCGGATTTCCTATCAATTTGAAGATTCAAGGAATCATATCTATCAAATTCTCTTCAAGTCCTCATCTAGTTATCTCTATTATATTCTCAGTGTTTTGAAGACACCTTGGTTGTGTTGAAGATGGCTTGCACATCCAATCCGATGTGATGATGAAGGTTTCGCTAGAGTAGTAGTAGTAGTATATACCGTAGTGTGTATTGAACTCTCCCCTTGTACTTCTTGTTGATCATCTAGTTGATTGGGCTAACGTGAGTGGCGCGCAGATGTAGGAGTGTGGCTCCGAAGTGCGTGAACAATTCCTGGTGTCTGGTTCCATTTACATTTCTTCGTATTTGTTCTTTATTCTTTTTGGCGTAGATCCTGTCTCTAATCCAGACTAGTAATTGAACTTAAAATTAATTAGGAACCATTAATTATTTGCTTGCCTTCAAGATCATCGATCTTTTCAATTGGTATTATAGCCTGGAGACTTAATTTGTTAGCCTTATCGATCTGGCTTCTACGTGTTTCTTGAAATCAAACCCTCAGTGTTTATTCTTTTTTCCTGGTTATCTTGTTCGTACTTACGGTGCATTGAGTCTTGTAGCATGAAACGACATAGGCTACCTCCTGAACTGATAGGTGACAACTATGTGTATTGGAAGGCACGTACCAAAATGCATCTACGAGCTCAAGGAGAGAGGGTCTGGATGGTGATTCTTACTGGGTGGACTCATCTTGCCAAAGCTGGAGCCACTCCAGAAGATCTTCTAGTCCTCAAACCAGAGACTGAATGGATGGAGGCTGAGATGACAAATGCTGGTTATAATAATAAGGCACTGGATACCATTTTCTCTTTAATGCATGAAACTCAATTCACTCTTATCGTAGGGTGTGACTCGGCTAAGGAGGCCTAGAATATCTTGGAAACCACTTATGAGGGCACCGACTCAGTCAAACAGTCCAAGTTACAACTAGTTCAATCTGACTTTGAAGATCTTAAAATGAAAGAGGATGAATCAATTGTGGACTTTCATGCTCGTGTTCAGGAACATGCAAATCAAGCAAATGTTCTCGGTGAACCTTTTC